AATAAATAAATAAATAAATAAAAAATGTAAATAAAGCCCCAACACTTTGGTGGCTGGGAATTAAATATTCATTGCAGCCAAATGCTTTCTCTTCTCCCAATGTTATTGTCAAGGTCAGCCTGGAAGCGGCATTTCTGCCCACCCTCAGGCAGTGGCTTGGGGGGGAATAAGCCCCCCAACAACCCACAGCAGGTGCCTGGTGCCACCCCCCGGCACCGGAGTTACCCCCCCCCACTTCCCCAGTTTGCCTCTAACGGTTCCCCCCCAACCCTCGATGCCAGCAGCCGCAGGGCCATGCTCGATGCCTCCAGGCTCAGGCATCCCCCCCAGCTTCTCCCTGGGCACCTTCCCCCCAAAAAAACCCCGACAGCTGGAGAGGGTTGGAGGTGGGGAATTAAAGCAGCCAGCCGAGGGGCAGGGGGGAGCATCCTTACCTCTGCGCTGCGGCTGAAACCGACCCGGCGCCGCGGGAAGCGGAACGAATTCCGGGCACAGATTGACCGGGGGGGCCCGGAGAAATTCACCGGGGTCCCCCCCCACGCCCGGGAGGCGGCGGGACCGGACACCTGCGAGGCCACCGTGGGAGCCGCCGCCGCCGCTGCCTCCGCACCCCGCGGCCGAGGGAAGCTGCGCGGCACCGGGCTGCTGCCGGCCGCCCCCCGCCGCCGCCCCGCGGATGCGCGCTCGGCTCGGCTCGGCCCCGCTTCCCCTTCGCTCGAGGGGAGGCAACTCCGCTCGGCTCGGGAAAAAAAAAAAAAATAATTAAAAAAAAAAAAAGCACACTAAAATAAATAAATAATGAGGGACACGCAGCCCCTGACGCAGGCTTGAGTCACCATGGCTGCACGTCAAAGCCGGGGTGGCGGGCCGGCCCCCCCACCTCTCCGAGGGGGCTCTTGCGTAAAAAAGAAAAAGAGAGCACCGGGGCTCGGCAGGAGAGGCGGGTTCACTTCTGCCCACCTTGGTGCTGCAGGGAAAGGCACGACCTCCGTTGTAATGCAGAGAGGAGCAGCCCCGGCGGTGCTGTCCCGGTCGCCGCCGTGTCTCTGCCCCGGGGAGTGCTTCGAGGATGGGGACACAGTGCTGTGACTCTGACCCGGGCACCACTTTGGGGTGGGAGGTGGGTTTTGGTCACCCCTCTCCTCCAAGGAGAACTTGGTGCGTGGGAGTCGTTGCTTTGCCTCAGACCACGCAGGGAGGAACGGCAGGAGGAGTGGTCAGGACCCGAATTCTGCTCCCCAAAACTCAGGTGCTCATCTGGAGCCCGTCTGTGGAAGGCAGCAATGCTCAGGGCTCGCTCCAAGCCCAGTGGCACTCAGGGGCCACAGAGCCAGAGCTGGGCTCAGAGGACACCATGTCTTCTCCAGCTAAACTGGCTGCCTCTCACCCCAGAGCCCATCCCAGGAGCAGCACAGGCTGGAGCAGGGCTGAGCTGGGGGCTAAGTCACATTTGGGGATGAGGCAGCAGCACTTATTAGTCCACCTTTAATGCTGAGAATGAAATTCTGCAAACAGAAGGGTCCCACCCAGTGATCCAGTTCTCCCAGTCCATCTCCCAACTATCCATGGTGGGATATAGTGACTCCAGGTATTTTATTAGGATGAAGACATAGATACATGCGCCCAACCAGCTCTTTGGGACAACCAAACTTCAAATCCAGCGCCTTTCACAGGCTTAATTGAACACAGTACTTTAGGTTGCTTTGATGCTGTAGCATGTCAAACAGAAAGCCCAGGCACACCTCTGGACATCAGCCCTCATCCTTTATTCAGTGCTGCGGAGAGACCTGCCATCAGAAAGCATCTAATTGGGTTCATCAGGAAGGCCAGAGGGCTGTTAGGTTGGTTTACTGGTGGGGAAAAGGAGTATTCAGTAGAGTTTATTGCTTGTTCAGCACATGATGGAAATGATTAAGGTCTATGGGAAGTCCTAAAGACCCAAATTCAGCCCATCCAAACCCCACTGGTGTAGCCTAAACACTTTTCTCCAACTAGTGTGTTTCTGGTGCAGGGGTACTGGTACCAGTATCCATCTCCTGGAGTCTGTGAGAAACCCTGGCAGAAGGAAAAACACATTTGGAAGAGAGAAAAAACATGGAGGATTCAGACCTCCAGCCCCAAGACATGCTCCCTCCAGCCCCTGGATTTCAATGGTTATACACTTTTCTGGCCTCTGGACCCATTTCCCTTTCCAGCCTATTAGGCACAAAATGATCAATCCTCCCAAGCACTTGGGAGCTCAGCCAGCACCTGCACAGAGATCCAGCTCCTGAGAGCAATGGTTATAACTCTTCCTTCTGTCCCCCGGGAGAAGCAAGACCGTATACCTCATTAAATCTGCACCCTTACCCATCCCGGGCAGCAGCAAGGCAGAAGGGGCCTTGGTTTTTGCTGGTGTTTTACTACCGTGCAGAATCCCCAGTGCCTGCTCGCTGCAATGTCCCTGCACTTCTCACGAGGGCTGGTGCACCTTGGCGGAGGTGAGGAGGTTGGAGCTGAAGGTGCCACCCCAACGGCAGTGTGGCTTCTGCATGTCTGGATGACACCACGAGCCCCCTCCTATGGGGACATGCAGGGGACAGGCAATGGCTGAGACAGTGCCACCAGGTCAGGATGGTCCCCCAGCCCGGCCACCAGGCTTTCAGCTCTCTGCCTATCGGGGAACCCCAAAGCCATCAGGGTCCCATCTGGGTGCCAGGTGACAGCCACACCCGTGCAACTGTACCACAGCTCATCACACTCACTGGGAAGAACCTGGCAATGGGAAAAAAGGTCCCACTGCCTGCCGGTGAGAAGGAACCTTCCTGACTGCAGACAATGGGGATTTGTTTCCGCCTTCATGGGGCAATGGGTGCTGGCTTTGCTTGGCAGGGCTGGGGAAGGGGAGCGGCCAAGCCCAGGGCCACTTGCACCAGCAGCTGCAGCTCTGCACAGCCAGAGGCTGAACGGAGGCAGATCAGATGATCTTAAGAAGGTCTGAGGCAAAGGAAAATCAAGCAACTCTAAGGAGCTCTGCACCAGCCATTCAGCTCCCTGACCTTGCACATCTTAGCGTGACACAGGAGTGAGGCTTGAGCCGGGATCACGGAAGGTTCGATGACACCTCAAGGTGGGATAAACCCATGCCTGAGGATTTAAAGAAATCCCTTTAGCTGGCTACACAACCACCGAAATGCACTGCTGGTTGGTAAACTGAGGCAAAGAAAGGTTCCCCAGCTGGATCAAAACTATAAAAAAAAATAATAATAATGACCAGGCCAGGCTGAATGTGGACTCATGAGCACACTCGGGACCAAATCAAGCAAAAATTTGACTTATTTCCAAGCCACATGATGCTGCCCAAGCTGTCACACTGTGGACGGTGCCAATGATGAGAGCAGAAGATGCCACAGGCAGAGGCAAGAAGCTCTGGCTCCGGCTGTGTTTTTCTCACCTTTCATAACAGCAGGGACCAGGCGGAGGCTGATCCAGAGACTCAGACTCAGAAAAAAACCCAAAGCCCTGTACTTTTCCGCCGCCAGCCCAAGCAGCCAGCATGGGCGATGGGACAGGCTGGATGAAAGCGGAGCATGTGCATGAGTAATGTCTCTCCTGGAAGAGCAGTGCCCCGGAGAGCCAGCGAAGGGCTGATATCGCGGTCCAAGATAGACGCATTTCCATAAACGCTTGAGCAGCAGCCTATAAATAACTGCCTGAATTTACCGCTGCTCTCATGTGACCCTGATCCCTGCATTTTCAGCTGCCATCTGTCACCATGGCAATGGCATCACAGGGCCACCAACCATTCATTCATAAGACTGGCCCAGGGGAGGGGGCCTGGCACAGGGGAGGCACCGCCAAGCTGCTTTAAAGGATGAAAGTTGCAGATTCAGGGGAGGAAAAATACAGGAGGTTTAACAGGAGCATGTGACGACCGAGCAGCCCTCCCCACCAGGAATGCAGCACAGCCCGCATTTCCAAACCACCGTGGCGGGTGCGTGCTGCAGGCAGGCAGGAGCACCTGCAAAATGCAGAGGCAGAGCTATGGGAAGGGAGGGCTGACAGCTGAGCATGGACAGACAGACATCTGCAGGGAGCACAGGGATGAGTGACTCCCTCCCAAATTGGCCCCAGGAGCTTGGAGCACCACAAGGGTGCTGCCAGCATGGCAGTTTTTGCCCAAAGCAGGGTGCATACAGAGTGGATTAGTGGGGCAAGTGAGTGTGGAGCTGCTGGTATACTCAGAAGATGGTTTTCCACCTAAGCTGTCAAGCCAACCTATGTTCAAGTGATAATAATCTAAGGGGAAAATGCCCTCCAGTTCCTAAATATGTATTTGCCTGCAAAGCCACAGCCTGTCATGGCTCATTCATAGTCCAGCACTGCTAACACAGAGGGAAAGGGATGGAGCCTGGAAAGGAGCACCCGTCCTGGCTCAGAGCAGAGGAATTTCAAGCTCCTACGTGGTATTTTCCACCCAAGGATCCCAACTCATTTTGCAAAACGCAGCCTGCCTCGTAACGCTGTAGACTGAAGGGACTTACTCAAGGTTCCAGGTGCCACAGCTGAGATCTGTCCTTCACCTCTCACGGAGAGGCTCAAACACCTCTTACAAAACTACGAGTTCCTCTACTACAGGAATTGGAGATGTTAGAATGTAAAAGAATGCATCAGAGGTGCCAGGCATGGCTGTGATTTGTCCAAGTGTCATTATGGCAGGGCCAGCGCAGCCCCGGCAGTAGCAGGTGACATTTCCCCTTGGGTTTGTCCCTGCCCATCCCTGGGCAGGGGGGCACATTTGGGCCAGTGACTGTCGCACCTGGGCCAGCACAGGCATGGTGGCACTTCCAGGGCTCCCACACCCAGACCTCACACTTTCGCCATCCAAAAGCAGGCTGCTGACCCTGCAGGGTGTTGTGTCCCTGTACAAGGAATGAGTGCCAGGCAGCCCCAGCTGGAAACATCAAGAAACATGGCAGAAAAAATGACCTTTAGAAGAAATAAATGCCATTTATTAGTGATCTCAGTAAAACTTTCCCCCTGCCACTCTGTGCTCACCTGTTGGCCATTTTTCCCCAGGGCTGCAGATTGCTGGGGAGCTGGACTGACTCTTTTTGGCCTGGAGATCACGTCTGGAAAAAAAAAGGGGGGAGGGGGCAGGGGGGGAGAAAGGCAATAAGCCATGGCTGAGTGGAAGAAGGAAAGCACGCTGATTCACTCAGCCCCAGGGGAAAGGCATGCAGGGAATAAAGGGGACTGCACAATGGAAGGAAAAATAATAAACACCAGCACAGGCACAGGAATGAGAACCATGTCTCGCTGCCCCTGGGCGAATGCTCCTAGCAGCAGGACAACGCTCTTTAAAGTGCTGCTGCTCCTGCTTTCTGGTCTTAATTTTCTTCACATGCTTAGCCGCCATCGGATCCGATGCGGCCGAGTTTGCATTGTGCAACGGAGGGGGAATTTGTGAGTGCTGGGCCCGTCAGCGGCGCGTTGTCGGCAGCGGACGGTGGGTGGGGAGCTGCAGTTTCCCACCACCTTGGAGCATCGGGCTCATCTCCCAGGTGGTTTTGGTGGTCAGTTAAAGAGGGGCCTGGGATTGTAGCTGGGATCTGGGAGGGTTTGGGGGGCTTCTTCTGGAGCTCTGCTGCTGCTGCTGCTGCTTTCCACCCCAGTCCTCCAGTTGCCCCAGCAGTGTGTCTCTGATGGATTTGCAGTGGGGCAGGTCCCAGCTAGCCCCACAGGTGGGTTTATGGGGAGGTACCAGCACCCAGGCACTGTCCCTCGCACAAGCCCTCCCTCATGGCCGGATCCAGCTCAGAGGCCACTCAGGGGATCTGGGACAGTCTCAGCAGTGCTTGTGGCTCCAGGACCCACAGGGTCCTTGGACTTTTTGTCCTTGGAAATGAAAACAAATCCCTTCAAAGGGCTGCTCAGCCTCAGATCTCCCAGCAAGGACGCTGCGGGTTGAATCCCCAAGGGAACAGAGACCTCAGCCTGCCTTTGGGCTGGCTCCTTTGAGAGGGGACGTGTCCCCTTCCCAAATACCAAAGGACACGGTGTGAGAGGACACAGCCCAGATGGGAGGGCATTTGCCATGGCTGTACCCGATGCTGCAAAGACCACAATGTGTCTCATTCCTCCTACACTCATTTCAACCATGCAACCTGCCTGCCATGCGGAGCTAAAATTGCCCAGAAGTGTGGGGTTTACACCCCAGTGTGCATCCCCTGGGGGAAAAAAAAAGAATGCCCTGAGCACAGCCCCTGCACCACCACCATCCAGCTGGACCTCATCTCCCCCAGGGAAACAAGCCCCAGCGGCTTGGCTCCTGGCACCCTCCCCTCCCAGCTAACGAGCAGCAGCCAGGTGCCACCCAGCGAGTCCCCACCAGTAGCTGCTGTCACCAGAAGTCACCCAGGAACTGCCTGGGGCTGTGATGCCGTGGCTGGCGGGGAGCAGCTGGGAGTGAGCTGGCCACAGCCATTGCCACTGGTGTCCCTCCCCACTGTCCCCAGCCTGGCACAGCCACTCCTGGGTCATGGGGGGACCCAGGGAGTGGTGAAAGCAGAGCTGCCAGCTTCAGACGTTTCCCACCGCATCCTGCAGGTTCCCGCAGGGCTCCGTGCCTGGAGCCCGCCAGCTCGTGTCGCACCAGCTGTCGTGTGATTTTGCCCTGGGTGTATTTTAAGCGCTGCCTTTGACGTCATGCCTTCTTCCCCATCTCCCCAGGATACTGCTTTCTATATGTTTCTAGAAAAAATGGCCCCCAAATCTCACCTTCAGCTTCCCCCACTTGGGCTCTTCCTGCAGCATCACCGACACACCGACCCTCTGTTTCCTGCATGCTGCACAGCCAGGTCACCCTTCAGCAGCTGAACAGAGATGGGGAGGAAAGAGGTGATATTTAATCTTTTGGGAGAACAAGGAAATGTGGAAAAACACAGGCTGAGGTGGCCTGTTCACCTAGCACTCAGACTCATGGCAGGAACAGTCCACTGGCCCCAAAGGGTGAATGGGGAAGCTTCAGGAGATGGGGCTACCACACCCTGGTGGTGTTGGGTGTACCCTGCTCCAGCCTTGTTTTCAGAGCTGGATACAAGTGAAACATCCTCCCCACACCCCAACAAGCCCCATGAGGAGCCAGATCCCATCCCCTCCATCCCAGCCACCCTCCTAGACTGGCCCCAGCCCCAAATGAGCTGTGTCCTGTCCTGCCAAGGAGCAAGAGGGAAAGTCCCTGACCGCCTCCCATCCTGGATGGGAGCAGGATATGGTCATCTGGGGATGTGGAGGCAAGCAGGGATGGAGCAGTGTGGCCATTGCATTGTTCCAGCAGCTGGGACACCTTTCACAGCACTGCAGTGCAGGTACACACTGAGCTTTTCGCTTGCACGTCTTGTCCCAGAAACAGCCTCTGGAGATCATCATCATCTGAACTGCAGGTCACCTCCCACCCGTGCTGTTTGGGTAGCACCATGAATGATGGAGAGCAGCACAGGGCAAAGATCAGAGCTATTTTTCCTCCTGAGAATTTTTACCTGCAGCTCTGTGTTAACAAATCCCACTGGCTCTCAGTGCCAACACCAGTCACATCAGTGCCTCTGTGTCCTTCCTCAGGGGTGCCCAAGGTCAGGAGCATCCATCCCAGCTTGGGGTTACCCACTGCCTACCTTGGCATCCCTGCCCCAAAGAAGGCCCAAAACATCTGGCTGAGGGGCTATTTCCTTATCCCAGACCCCAAGCACACCCTGATTTGTCTCTCAATCTCTTGGCCATAAACCCAGATGAGCACTTCTCCATCTCACCCGTGGCGGGACATCTCACACCCCATCCAAGGTATGGCAGAGCTGTGAGGGACTGGTGGAGGGGGAAAAGCAGGAGGTCTTGGGGTTGGGAGAGGTCACTGAGAGGACTAAAGCAGCTGATAAAAAAACCCATCCCAGTGCCCCAGCTGGAAATGATCATCCACATGAAGACAAGCGGGTTTGGGCAAGCCTCTCCTCCTGCGTGTCCCCCAACCCTCCGAGCTCCCCGCGCGCGGGGTTTCACTGCGCTTTAAGGACAGCACAGGCCCCAAGGTATGTGAAACACTGCTGGAGAGAGGAGTCTGGATGCCATCCCGTACTCTCCCTGCTGAGCTCCCATCGCCAGCCCTTTCATACAGTGGCTCCCATCCACCCAGCGAGACAGTCGCCTGCGGGGCCGCTGCTCCCCGCCTCGGTGCAGAGGAGCCCGCGCCCATCAGGGAGAGCGGGGCTGCCCCTCTATAGCTGGCACAAGCAAAGGCATCTTCCCCTCATTAACCCCCCCAGGGTCGATTCTTCTCTCCCATAGAGCAGCACAACAGGGCTGGTTGCAGCACGGACCCAGACCAGCTGCAGCAGGGCAAGAGAGAGGAATGGGGAGCTTAGGAGAGCTTTCAGGAGCACTTTTGCCTGGGTAACACCCCTGGGCTGAGCTGTGCAGGTCCAGCACGGCCACGCTGCCCCAGCCAAAGATGCAGGCTCATGTCATGAGCACCCTGCAGCGTGGCTGTGTTTGCTCCAGCTTTGCGAGGAGCTGGGAGAGGGGGATTTTATTTCCCAAACCTCCTCACTGGGATGGGGGTGACAGCAGGAGGCAGCTCAGCTGCAGGGAGATGTGCCGGCTGTGCAGCGGGATGGGATGCAACCCTGGCTGTAGCACGGCTGGCCGTGATGTGGGCTCTGGCTTCATACCTCCCTGCTCCCCCTGTGTTTCTCACTTCTCCTTCTTCTCCCCAGTTCCCGGAGCTTTCTGTGCCAGCTGCATAGTGCAGAGGTCCCCTGCCCGATGGGTGCAGCCCGGGGACAGTGTCTGTGCCCCATGCCACCCCTAGGAATGCACCTCAAACCCAGCAACCCAGAGACCTCCGAGGGCATCCTCTGCCTCCATGCGGGAGCTCATCCAGGCCCCACCGCCTGCCAGGCCCCATCCCATCCCCCCCGCTGCCCCACGGCTGTCAGCACGCAGGGCCACTGCCAAGACAGCAGCGCGCTGCATTGTCCGGGTCAGGCCCAAACACTGCCACCCGAGGGGAGCTTTGGATGCACAACAAAACTGGCAACACGAAAGAGACCCCAGAGGGGGGAAGAGACAAACAAACAGAGAAATCAACCCGAAAAAACAATGAATCTTTCTGAGCCGGGACAAATCCCATCGTCTCCGCTGCAGGGCTCAACCTCTGCTGACTGACATGGCCACCGCCTCTGAGAAAGGGACCGGAGAGGAATGCAGCCACATGGGGGTCCCCAGGGGAGGTCGGGGGATGTTCGTGTCTGGGAGGGGGCTGGCACAGGGATTGCAAAGCCTTTCAAGCCCCATCCCCATCGGAGGTGAGTGCTTGTGGCCCAGTTTTGGCTGCAACACCTGCACATCCCACCCCTGGGCAGAGGAGGAGGTGGGGAGGGGGGCTGCAAATCAAGGGGAGGGCAGCAGGATGCAGAAGGATCCTGGACCTGATGGGAGACATTTGCTGAGGATGATTTTATGGACATTTTAACCTCCCCTTCTCTTCATTACCTAGAATTTACAGCCCCTTCAAGATGCTCAAAGCTGGAGCTAATGGCACAGACTCTCTGCAGCTGGGAAAGGGGGCAATTGGCAACACCCTGGGGCCAGGGTGTCCCCAGACACCAGGGCTCTGTGCCCAGCTCTGTCAAGGGGAATCCAGAAGGTCCCAGCCCCCATCACGCCTTAATTTCCCCATGAAGATGAGGACTTTCCTCTTCCAAACACCCAAGCTCAGCGGATGAGCCTTCGGCTTTGCACACTGAGCCTCCCTTTGGGCTGGAAATAGGGGCTGGTGTGCAGGGGATGGTGGGGTCCCACCTTGAGGAAGGTCTGGAAAGTCATTGGGAGGAAGTCAGCAAAAACAAGAATAAGACGAGCTCGGGGAGAGGCTGGGGAAAGGGAAGAATGAGGAGGCGGCGGCAGGGAGACAGACTGCGCCAACCATCTGCTGTGGGCACTTCCAATTCCTTGGGCTCGTTTCAGCTCTGCTTGCCTCAGCTTTGCTGTGGGAGCTGCCACATGGGAGCTTGTCCCCAGCACCAGCCCAGCCCTCAGGGGACACGTGGGATGGGGCGGGATGGGACCCAGCCTGGGACAGACAGATGGAGGTGGCATCTGTGCCTAGGACAGGGCCAGCCAGGGCTCCTCCCCACAGCACCCACAGGGGTCAGAGACCTTCAGCAACTGATTCCTGAGGCTCAAAGCCAGCCTGGAGCTGCCCAGGGGAAGGAAAATCTGCTTGGAGAAGCTGGGATGCTTTACACCACGAGGCAGGTGCCCCTTGGGGTATTAAAAAAACCTTGGGGGCTTGTTAATGATACCTCAATTCAAGCACTCAAGCCTGGACAGGGGACACGTACCTGGGGCTGCCAAGTTCTGCTCTGTGCTAGAATTGCTCCCCACCTCCCCAAGCAGCTTCTTTGAAACCATTTGCACCTCCCAATGCTCCCCTCACCCTCCCCAGTGCTGCCTTCCTGCCTGTCCTCACCTCAGCCCCTCACCCTGGCCCTGGGGGTTCCCACAGCTCCCACGCCAGCCAGCAAGAGCACACACAAAACTCCAGCCACAATTTGGACAGCCCCTGTCCTCCTCCCTATGGGATTTGTCTCACTAGAACAGAGCCCCCCATCGTGGGGCCAGTATTATGCTGGTGGCTAAGGCCACCAACTCCTGCCATGCTGCAGCCCACCCTGGGTGCCTTTGGGGGGGACTCCACCCTCATAAGGGACCCACGAGGTCTTTGTCTTGGCCCTACCATAACAAAAGGATAACAACAAGCCATTGTGTTCTGCACAGCCCTTTTATCCCTCATTTGGGGGATCAGCATGGGAGGGAAAACCCAGCTGTTAATTATTCCTTCATCACATATGCAAAAAGCAAGCTGCCCATTGGCCACACCACAGGAACCCACTCACATGGTGCAGCATTTGCTCTCCATTGGCTTTGTGGCCAGCAGTGATTTAGGAGGCCAGGCATCACCTCCCTCAGGGCTGTCCTTGCAGGTCCCCAGGCTCCCTGAGGGACCCAAATCTTCTGCCAGTGCCTGCACGATGCACACCTCTAATGCAGACCAGATGAGCCTGATGTGTGCCTTCAACTGCCAGCTGCTGGTGCCGCAGGGACCCGGGTGCTCCAGCTGCAGCTCCGGGCACTGTGGGCTTTTGCAGCAGGATCCCATGGGGAAGACAATTGTCCCAGTGCCTCCACGCTGGGAGTGCTGACTGCCCTTTGTTGTATCATAGCAGGGCTTACCTTTATCCTACAAAACTGCTGGCGTTTAAGAGTTCAGAGGGAAAAAGAGTTTGCCATGAAGGCAGCCCCACTCCTCAGAGGGGCGTGCTGGGCAGCAGGGACCAGGGTGGTACCCAGGGGAGCAGCACGCACCCCAGTGAGTGCCACCAAGTCTTTCACCCCCTAAATTGCACCCATCTTGTCTTGAACAACCCAAAGCACCCCAGGCTGCAGTGGTGGCTGCTTGCCGAGGCACTCAGAGCCACACACCCCTTGCCTGAGGTTTTGCTCCTAGGCTCAGCACTGCTGCAGAGGACACACACCACGCCTGGGCTTTCATTTCCCTCCTTGGGTGAGCTTCATATTTAGCCCCAAGACTAGAGCAAGCTGCAGCACTGTGTGCTGGCCTGGGCTGACTCTCTCCAGCCTCTGTGTGGGTGCTTGGGCTCTGAGCCATTCACCAGCACCACAGGGTAAAACCACCAAAGCCAAAAGCTGCAGGTGGTCCTGGGGGCATGGGCAGAGGCAATAGGTTGAGGGCAGCAGAGGGGATTTGAGAAAAGTGGGAAGATACATCAAAAGTGATCACTCACCAAGTGGCTTAACACAA